CACACACACACACACACACACACCATCCTGTCGTACACACTAGGTTTGGTTTAAGTAAGCGTTTTACGGCACATGTAAAACAATTATGTCATATAAGTGGCGCAGATTAGAGGTAGGCCTATAACTTGAGAGTATCATACAAAGTACGTAGGAGAGAAAAGAATTAAATTTGAATGAAGGATAGAAGGAGCAAACTACACCAGAGCATCCGCCAGCCACCCACACTCGAGGAATGCACTGCATTCATACATACATCATTTTTGCATACCCAACAAGCAAAGACGGAACAGACGGGGAAAGTAGGTATTTCTAAAAAAAAAACAACCTCAGACACAAAAACAAAACACGGAAAAACTAAGCCTTAGTTTTACATTTGGGAAAAGTTTTACGGCACTTGAAACAATTGATTGACTCAAATAAAGAGCCAAAGATTAGAGCTTTTACTAGATCTAGATCTAGAGAGTACACCCCCAAAGTAAGACACGGGAAGGTAAAGGCTACAAAGCTCCTGTAGAAAAGGGAGAACAGGAAAATACAACAAAGTTTACGAAGTCTACCAAGTACTGAGTCCCGCACACAACCACGCGCTTGAGCACAGGACACTATAATAGCGCCCAGAAAAAAACAAAAACAATCGGGAACTTGGCGTCACAAAAGCAGCAACTATTTAACACACATCAAACTAGATACCAAAATCGCACTAACTATATAACACACGCAACACTACATGTCACAAGAGCACCGACTACGAACTAGAAATCGCCGCACTAGGTTGACATCATAATCATAATTGCACATCTAAACGCAACACATTATTGAGGCTCCTGTGATTTCACTAACACTGCATTTTCCTTGAAACTTGACACTCGATCAAACAGACACTTTCTGGCGCACAAAAAAATGAGTAGAATCTAAGTACCCTCGTCCTGATTCTACAACAAACAAACAAACGGGCTCAAGAGCGAAGAATTCTGGTTTTTCTTTGTTATTACCTTTACGGGCCCGTTAGATGTATTCACATGTATTATAGCAGGCTATCAGAGTTGCCAGCAAGGCACAAGTCTTCACGGGCTGGTTTGTTGCTGAAGTAAAGACGAGCCCACGGCGAGTTTGTGTCTGTCTGTCTGTGCGTCCAGGGGACGAATGAAGAGACAGAGGAGCGTAGCGGGAGAGAAGGAAGAAGGTAGAAGAGGGCGGGACGGACGAACAGATATCAGCTGTGGGACGCTACGGTTATCACAGTCCGTCCATGGGGCGGCGCTATCTCTCAATGCGTGTGTCTCTGTGTGTGTGTGAGAGAGAGAGAGTGTGTGTGTGTGTGTGTGTGTGTGTGTGTGTGTGTGAGAGAGAGAGAGAGAGAGAGAGAGAGAGAGAGACAGAGAGACAGAGAGGATGTGCGTGTGTGTGTGTGTGAGAGAGAGAGAGATAGAGAGAGAGAGAGGATGTGTGTGTGTGTGTGTGTGTGTCAATGAGTGTGTGTGTGTGTGTGTCAATGAGTGTATGTGTGAGTGTGTGTGTGTGTGTGTGTGTGTGTGTGTGTGTGTGTGTGTGTGTGTGTGCGCGCGTGCGCGCGTGTGTGTACGAGTATGTGACTGTTTGTGTGTATGTGTGGGGGACAGAGAGGGAGAGTGAGAGAGAGGGAGAGTGGGAAAGAGAGAGAGAGAGAGAGAGAAAGAGAGAGAGAGATAGAGTCTGATAGACACAGAAACTCCACACCGCTGTTGGAGAGACTACGGATTGGCGAAGGACGGTGATGGGTCGGAGGTTACATGCAAGGCCAGTGCGAGGCCAGAGAAGGTGGTTGAGTTCACTTGGAATAAACGTTTTAGTTTTACGGAACTTGCAACACAAATAGATCACAAAAGTCATGACGATTAAACGTGTTACTACTTCAGAGTAGTATAGTATGAACAACGGATGTTTGATAGGAACGAAGGAGCAAACCACACCAGAGCAACTACCACCCACCCACACCACACAGGGGCGGCTCGTGGGGCTAAAAAGTGGACGTGCACAATTAAGCTATCGCATGCTGAAGAAAGTCAAGGGCATAGTAAATGAGACGGTGTATAATTGTAAGCTTTGGATTGGTGAGGGAGGACCTCGTGCTTGTATTTTCATTCTTTTTACTTGTCACTTTAATTTCTAGTATTAAATTTATTTGTTACATGAACACCACGTTCGTTCATCCTGTATTGGAACTGAAAACTCAAGTAATAACTTTCACTAGATCTACTCCACTACAAAACCATTCAAAGGCACAATTTAAAGGATGGTGGCTTAAGTATGTCACGTTCACCTCCCTCAGGTTCACGGTCACAGAGTCACTTAAAATAGTGGCAAGACAGACAATGAATCAATCACAATTCACTTGAGCACTCCGCACGATTGCTCGGGGCTCACATAAAATTGGCAAACAATAGCGTACGGTCTATCGTGTTTATTTTTAAACTGCCTACTGTGGGCTATGTTTCGGCACTATTCGGCAGGAGCACATTTGAGATGTGCCGTCTTATTAATATTAAAGTACCGCCAAACTCGCTACGAGTTTCGTGATCGCTTGGGTTATCCACAAGAATGATTTATAGGTCAGGTTACACTGTTGAATATTCTATTATGTTTAGCTAAAGGGCGTGAATTTTGGCATGGCATAGTAGATGTTTTACCTCGCTATAGACACAGAAATGACAATTATGGCGCAAGTGAGGACCTTGTTTTGATATATTTGGCTAGTGTTTGTTTCCGGCTTTTTTAATTCTATTATTGTGGGTGTTTTACGTAATAGAACATTAAAACATTTTAGGCAGCACTGCATGACCGTGCTCTATGGACGAACCGCGCCTGACACCACAGCACGCGCAAACCACCCAGCAGAGCATCCACCAACAGAGCACCCGTAACCACCCATCAGAGCACCTGTCAACAGGGAACCCACCAACCGCCCACCATAGCACCCGCCAACCATAATATCGCGTCGATACATCCGTGGACAAAGAGAAATAATTCAAATATCTAGAAGAAAAAACGAATCCGCGCGAGCAATAGAGACAGCCAGAAATTTACAACCGCCCTGGGTCGTTTCTGGTTTCTTTTACTTCCGCTTGGATAAGAATAACTCCCAACGTTTATTCACACACTTGCGTCTCTGGCAAACATTAGCCCGGCCAATCAGCGGCCATTTGTGTAAGCCTGAATTATTCTATCAGAAGATAGAAAAAACGAATGATATTTTGTAGATGAGAAGTCTTTGCCAACGCCGATAGAAACTCGAAAGATCTCTTCAATGCAATAATAAGCGTCATTGCAGAAGATCGGGGAGCGTTTGTAGGAAACTGATAGACACAGGGTCTTGGCATCGCCCAGTCTTGCTTTGTGCGCGCGTTTTATGAGTTCTGGGGTAAGGGGGTAGGGAGGGTGTACTACAGTTATTGCCGAGATAACACAGAGAGAAATGAGCGCACGTGTGTGAGTAAACTTTCCTCTCACCCGTCTGGCTGCGTGCATGTACGAGCGGGCTTGGTAATGTTCAAAGGTGGGCGGGTGTGGTTTGATTTTTGAGAGCACGTATAGGTGTGCGGGTGAGTGCGCGCGCGCGCGTGTGTGTGTGTGTGTGTGTGTGTGTGTGTGT